CAGATCTAATCAAGTTGTTCGCTGCAGCATAGCTAACTATGGGGTTCACTAATTGGCCCAATTGCGGATTATACCTTTTGCTACAGATTCAAGACAATAATTTAGTTAAATGATGTTTTTTTTTTTCCTTATCTCTTCTAATTAAGATTCCAATGTGGGAAGAAATAGGATTAGACAGTCTCAAAATTGTGTTCCCCTTAAGATGGTATGCACTGTTGATAGGCTCGCTATGACATGTGGAATATATAAGAGCACAGTATTACCAACTTCTGGAGAGTCTGTGAAACCTATATGACCCTACTGGATGTCTACCTTATTTAGGAATTAAAAGTGTAAATATGGGGATGGTAATATAATGAATATATTAAGATGTAAACATGTACAAAATGACATCTCCATTGTTAAAGAATGTTAATTTGAATTTATTTTTGACAAATGATTTGATCTATACGAACAGATGCCTATGTTCCACTTTGATTTTCTTTTGCTAACTGCAATATGTCTGGGAAGTGAATATTTAAATATTTATGGAGGGCATCATTATCAGAAAAGTATATTGGACTATATAGTCCATCGTGCTACAACTTAATGTTCTTGAGTCAGACATTTATGTTTCCATTATTTTTTTTTAGTGACATAATTGTTAATTGACAAATAAGTTAACCAACTCTCCTCTTTACCTCTAAGTATAGTAAACAGTCACCTTTCTACTTCCCATTTAAAACTGGAAAGGCTATTGATATAAAATGTAGGGAAGTAAGGAAACCTAAGACCAAAGATATCATGCAACTCTACGTTGTCCAACATTGTCATAGTGACTACAAGAGTTTATGCTTTTCCAATATGTAAAAATTTCAAATAATTCTGCTGAATCATATCAAGTATACTGTAGTACTATATAAAGCTAACTTATACTGATGGCATATAATATTTTGATCTTAATACTTAAGAATGAATTTTCTAAGTAAGTGCATCAAAAATAGTGTTACTTAATAGATACTGTTATCAATTCCTCTGTGAGAAAAAGTTCTTGATGACTGAGAGGTACCAGAGTCCTGTGTTCTGAATTAGGGGCAAAGAATTAAAGACAATCTTGAGAAAACTTAATCTACTTTGATTTTCTGGACTCTCAATATTCATTTAATGTGCAAGACCCACATAAATATACTACTTATGATAATTACTATTTCTGGACCAATTAAAACCTATATAAGTACTGTTTATCCTTATTTTGAAAATTTGCTGTTATGATATCATCAAATTATATGAAGCCACATTTCAAATCCTACCAAATCTTACTTGTTTAGGTATTACAATTACATCATAATTACTAATATAAAGAAAAAACTGGTTAATGATGATCCCAGCATAAGAGAAGCAAAAATTACAGAAACTGAAAAAAAACACAAGTCTAAGTGGTTATTTCAGCTTGGATGTGAAGCTATGTACCCAAGTTATATTTCTTGTGGAACTTAATGGAGAAGGTAGTGTTTATATGTCACTTGACCAGTGGAGCTTACATAATATTTATAGCTGCATTATTTGGATAATTTTTCAAACTCCATAACTTATCTATATACACATATTTCAGCAAAGATTTTATACCTGCTAAGTGTATGACTCTGTTCTTAGTTCTGGGATAGATACGAAGATGAAAAAGACATAGTTTCTATATGTTGAGTCTATTATTATGGTTTAGTAAAGCCTTTTGTTATAAAATATTCAATTACTACATAGAAAGTATAAATAAGCCAGTAGAGGGCCTGGGACACAATAAAGGCTTAATAAATCTTGTTATGACTGAATAAAGGTTATGTGGTAAGCCAAGGAATAAGTAGTATGTCGTGGTTAATCGAATATGCTAGAGAGTTACCATGTACAGTTTACAAGGATTATACATTTTCAAAGAATTGGAAAGCTTTTTTTTTTAACCCGAAGCCAGACTGAATCAACCTTATATTTTCTCTTTTACTTACCCAGAATACAGGCCAGGATTTTAGTGTCATTACTATAGATATGATTCTGCTATGGTTTTTGTAGAGGGCCTAATTTATAGAGCTTCATAGCTGATGAATACTAGGTATTAGTAAAAATTTACTGTGATTAGATAAATAAATTCGACTTGAATGTGAATAATACCAATACACAGCCCAAGAAGAAAGAAATATTCTTTTGCCTTTTCCAAATCACTCAAAGAAATTAAAGACTGCTGGTTAGAGCTGCTCTATTTGCTAGAGGCCCTTGGTGGCTGTCAGTTAAAAAAGTTTTTTTTCAGTTTTCATATATAAAAAGAGTACTAAATCAAAGAAAGGGTACCCTAAAAATAGAAATAAGGGTATTTTCTTGTTTTGTTTTGTTTTTTTTGCTCCTTGTTTCCAAACATGCCAACCATGTGAGACCATGTGACTGATAGAAAATTCCATCATGTAACAGATCTACCTGTATGGAATCAGAAAACTTATTTCTGCTTTACCGCTAAACCACCTTTCTCTTCTGAAAGTAAAACCAGATTCAGTGCCTGCTATATTAGGGTCTCACACTTTACAAACTAGTAGAGTATACATCTTATTATTATTTTTTTGGTATCAGTTTTAATAAAAACATTTGTTGTGCATATTAAAACAATGTCACATCATAATTTTCCCCCAATGAAGGAATCTTCTCATTTCCAATTTCTACAATGTATCACCAAAGACTTGCTGTCTGTTGGGTATGCATTTTATAAGGTATAATGCTGTATTTAAATCATTTAGTCTTATGTGAACCACATGACTTTATCTTGTTATAATTATACCTATATATGCTACTATTAGGTTTGTTTCGTTCTTGAACTCCTATTTTTTCTAATCACCAAATTGAATTTTATGTCATAGGTGAATAAATTATTTGGAATGTGTTGCACCTATATTTCTATGTATAAAAAAAAGATGGTTATAAGCCAAAAAGGTAAAGGATTTGATCAACTGTATTAAATATTAACTTTTTAAAAACCAACCATCTATTTGTGTTTTGTTTTCAAATATTGCTTCCAAACCACAGGTGATCAATTATAATTGTTCTCTTAGTTCAGAATGTTGGGAATAGAAGAGAGGAAATGGAACAGAAACCTATGTGGTTTATAAAAGATCTCACATCAGCTCCAATGATAAAGTATAGTCACTTTATTAGAATCCAAGTTTATTCAAAGGAGAGGTCCCACTTGACATTATTTAAGTCTTTTATTTCTATCTCCTCACACCCAAAATAAGACCCAGTGTGTGTGTGCATATACATGTTGTGTTGTGTGTGTGTGTGTGTGTGAGAGAGAGAGAGAGAGAAAGAGAGAGAGAAAGAGAATAAACATGATTCACACTACAGTGCTACTTTTTTCTGTGGGTGCACTATGATTTTCACTAGGGAATCTGCTTGCTTAGTTTGTATGACAAGATACCTTAGACCTGCTTGTCAGAATACTCATTTGGGAGAAAGGTGTTGCACAGAGGGAAAAAAAAACAACCCCAATTTTCATAAAAAATATAAGTTCAACTTAAAAGAAAATGATGAGGCATGCTTTCCTTGTGACACTAACTATAACTTTATGCCTCTAAAAATTTTAAGCAAAATATCGCTTAAAATTGGTAAATAATAACGGTAAATTTCTTAGTATTCTATCAGAAAAACTGAAACAAAGTTTGAACAATTACAGCGTTGGGTTCCATTTCAACGGTTTCTTTTGAGAACTAAAGCAAATTAGCTCAAGAATCAGTATTTCTACACTCTCTATCTTTTGGCTTTAAGTGGCTTTTGAAGGGAGTATCCCCAGATGAGAAACTTCTAACACTCCTGCAGAGATGACCTGCTTGAAGAACTGGCTGCCTGATTAACTATTAACTGCTCTCAATAGGATTAGATAATTAAGGACATTGATGACCATTAATTAGGAGGAGGGCACATTAATTTGTCACTGGATAGGGCCCTTACAATGATTTATAGGTTAGTGCTACTTGCAAATGTGAAGGGAAAGAGAAAAAGAGGGAGAACCATGAAGTTACCTTATCAAGTGGCCAGCTAAAGAGGGCAGAGGGTCAAAAAAGGGCCAAAGTGGTCACTTAAGGGTGAAGTCCCAAACACCAAAGCAGTGCCAAGCCACATTGACCATCATTTGGTGATGAAGTTAAAAATATGCTAATTTATTGGTGGCAATTCTCTCTTTTTATGGTTTCAAGCAGTTAAGACAAGTGGCCTGCTTAAGAGCTTTTCATTTGAAAAGAGATTAAACAAAATGGTTTGTCAAGGCTGCTTGGCTGTTTTATGTCTTTGTTAAAAAAATTGCACCGACTATACTGATAACTATCACATCACCCAAAAGCCATCTCTCCCTGGGCATTTATTTCGTTAATAAATACATCAACTCTAATTGCTTAATAGTGCTATGTTCATTTGCTCTTTAGCAAGATTAAGTTGAAATAAATCTTTCGTACCACTACTTTCTGTCACGACTGCTTGCATAAAGGTCACAAAAAAAGTTTTAAGTTTTGTAGAAAATTGACTTAAAGACACTGGTGTAAATTATACTTTGTTTTGTTCAGCATGGAAAGCGGAAAGGTGATTTCACTAATAGTAAAAAAAACTGCTTTTAGAATACGGATAAGGATCCTCTTTTCTTAGCCATACACAATTGTGGGTAGCTTTCACATTCCACACATAAATAAGCACAGCTCATTAACATTTAATTAAATATGCTTTTGAAAGCCTTGGAAATACGCATGTCATACTTACCATGTAAGTTTGGAGCTTACTTTGAATAGACGTTTAAAACAAAATCATTTTTTGCTATACTCTAATGATATGCCATTAAAAGAGAACAAAATAAGATAGTCTAAAAACATTATTTTGTTACACCAAAAGAACTTAAGAATATTAGCAGGAAACGTCTTCTAAGAATTATATATATATATACATACACACATAGACTATGTAACCTCAAGTCCGTGAACTAAAATACAAAAATTCTCTCTTACCTCAATGGTGAATAGCTTCCTTTTTAATTTAAAAGCTAAGTCTTTGACATCGGATACATCATAAATCAAGTTATTAAGCCGAGGAATCTGCCGAATATGAATCAAACCTTGTGAAAAGGAAATTAAAAGAAAAAAATTTTTTAAAAACACTGTCTTAGTGCATAAATTAAGAGTCTTACAGCAGAATCCTGTAAATTTACACACAAGCATCCTCCCCTTTTAAAACTGGAGCTTACTACCAGGAGCAATGAAGCAAATGGTGTGATTATACTCAAGTAATCAAGCAGAATAAGATAAACAGAAATCCTTGTGCAAGGAAAACTAATTGCATTTTGGTACAGAAGTACAGATGTAAAGAGGGATCTTAATACTTGTCAAAACTACAGCCGGTTTGTGTGTGATTTTCTCTTGTATTTACAGTAAGCAAATATGGCTATCACCTTGCATGCTGCCCACGGCACCACTGAGTGATCTTTATTTTATTAAATGCACCAGTAAGCAGCCAGCAAAACAAGGCTTATGGGTTACTGATAACCAGTGAAGCACTAATGAAAAGTATTTCATTTTGTACCTTATTAATGACTTGAGCAAACCACTGAAGAAAACTACATTTCAGAGCACACTGTAGGATCAAACTTTAACCCCTATGCCATTCCAAGACCCTCATTTCTGTGGCATGTTAGACCTTTGTGTAGCTGTTATAAGCTTTGTAATAGTGCTAGGTAAACCGTGAGCTTTGGCCTCTTGTCAGTAGAAACACTTGCTAATTTTTTCTGACAAGGGCACTGGATGCCTTTTGTGCAGCTTAATGCAGTTTCTGACTAAACTCAGGGTCATTTGCCACAGATGAAGACATGGAAGATTCTTCAGTGCATCTCTCTGCCTGACTCAGCCCATATTTAAAATCATCATCCCAAAGACACTGATCTCCAAACATGGAGGAAGAAGGCAAATCCAAATCTGAACAAATAAGATGCATCTTATTTAAAGAACTGCTTTTCTAGTATACAGTTGTGTGTGTGTTTGAATGCTTAGTAATATATGTATTCATTTTAGCTTCAAAGGGTAAACCTCTAGGTGCTTAACTTCCAAAATGGCCTTTTCAAAAATAATTCACTGAAATATCTGATTTAATTTATTAAACTTAAAAAAATGCAAAATATGTTAAGAAGACAGCTTTTAGATACAGATTAAAGATATCTTAGAGCTACTTAGTAAAATACATTAGAAACGAGCACACCAGACTTTCACTTGCACATTCCTCATTTTACCTTGGTGTGTGTGTGTATATGTGTGTGTGTGTGTGTGTATATATATATATATATATACATATATATATATATGCTGATTTAGCTCTTAAGTCAGGAGGCCTTACACAATGAATGAATACAGTTTATCAGGTCCTTCTTATTAACAGAAATGCTACTTGTCGTCAAAACCCTTCATTAATCTGTTGGTAATAATTTATCGATTCAGAGATTTCAGCACAAAACATCATAGCCTTTCACCCTTGAAATGTTTTAATCAAAATAACTGTCTTAGAATATAAAATATAATTTACTAAATTTATTAGGTCATAATACTTACAGATGATATTCAGATATAATTTATTAAGGTAATATTTAACTTGAGTTGTTTTAAAACAAAGCAGAAATAATAAAAATTGAAAAATAGTTTATCTAGTTTTGAGACAAATAAGTCCTAGGGATGTAATGTACAGCATGGTGATTATGCTCAACAATAATGTGTTGTATATTTGAAAGTAGCTAAGACGGGAGATCTTAAAAGTTCTCATCACTAGAAAAAAAACATTGTAAACTATGTGTGGTGATGTATGTTAACAAAACTTAACTGTGGTGATCATTTCATAATACATACATCTCTTACGTCATTACTTTGTACACCTTAAACTAATAGAATGTTGTTTGTCTATTATAGCTCAATAATAAATTAAAAAAAAGAAATAGTTTAAACTTAATAGTCCTCTTCCTATAATAGTGACAATAATGGATTAAATAATTATACATAGGGTTAATCTGGGCATATAGCATATACAGTTATGCACGTTAATCATGAGGCAAATTATTTTATGTAGCTTTTGTTCATAGCTTATATTTTCTAGCCTTTAAAAAATACTTGATTGTTAGATTGTGCTGTTTTTTTTTTGTAGACTCTAGAAATTGTCACAGTCCTGCAATCACAATCTTATATAATCTTCTAGCAGGCTTCAAATAAGACATTCAGTCTTTAGAGGTTTCCATGAAAGTACAGTAGGTCCACAATAATAACAGCAATAACTAACATTTACTCAGTATAAGTAAATAAGTAAAAATCTATCATTCCCCATATTCTGTATTTAGAGCTAAGATGTGCAAAACTATTAAACCTTTCCTATTTCAATGATTCTATGTAAGAACGCTTATTTTAAAAAATCTCCAAATTAACCAAATGACCAAAATATTACTAAAAACTTCAAAAAAAATTAAAATCTGATTAATTGACCTGTGTTTATACTAGGGTGGCAATATTATAAAATTTGCTCAAAACTCAAACAACAAAATGAGCAAAGTCCAAATATAATCAAAGATGTTCACTTTCTGAAAATGTGATTGACTAGGGTTTTTAAAACATAGTAAGTATGAATTTTATTTTTCATATAGGTAGGCTTTGTAAAGCATAAACCACTATACAAAGCTGTTGTTATTAGAACTGATATATTTATTTCAAACATGGCTAATAAGTACAACTGATTTCATGACAACTTTAAATCCCCGGGACAATAAAATTTTTATCTGACTGAGGCATGGCTTAGTACTTGGGTTTGACTTCTTTCAAGTAGTTAGCACAGTCCATAGTTTTAATGTAGTTTGGTGACAATCTGCCATGAAAGAATGGTCAGGAATGGAAAACATTTAACAGATATATTATAAAATAAAACTCATGCTACTTGACAGTAGATATTATGACTGGATACAATGCTTCCAGGTACCGTAGAGGCAACCCAGGATATTCTCTTCTCCTTATAAAGGTGCTGCTTACCATGATAATCCTTATATAATGGGTTGGTTTCTCTCTCAGAACCAATGAATGATTCCAGACCAACTACTGTATCTGACAAGTTTGTAACACGAGCAATAATTGCTTTATTCTGTAAAACAAGAAACAAAACACTCACTTTAAATTTAATAATATAACATGTATTCAGTGCCATTATGCCATCTCAGTGACAAATTGTAGAGGAGATAAACTATCAACGTAGAGAAATAATTCAAAGCTACCACAGGCTGGAAACTGGATGAGAATGTGCACTTAACTGAAAATTCTAGCCCATGTAGATGTGCTATTCTAATTGGAAGAGCTGAGGGGACATATCTTATTTTTGGTAGAGAGCATAAATTGATTATTTTTCTTCTGTTTTAAGGGTCAAGGCTACCTTTATTCTCACACACTATTCTTTTTCAAATTACTTTACCCATTGGAAAATCTGATAGACATCAGGACTCAGAAGCAGTAGATAGTACAGTATAATGTGTAAGGCAAGGTCCCGCTATCATCTGTCAACTGGGACCAGGTCCCAGCCCTGTAACAGCTGAGGTCCTCTGTATCATTTTCGAATCACGGAAGGGTCCAGCTAAGAGGCTGCAGCATGGCTAGCTCTGGAGTCTTCTGTTGTCTCCTTCCAGATGCTGCTATTTAGCTCTGGGATAACAATAAAGGCAAAGAAAAGAGAGTAGATGACTAGCACTAAACTAGTAGCCTACACTTTCCTTCCCAATACAATCTGACATGAACCAAAAACATTGCTAAATAATACATTGTAAAAAAAAGTCACATTTTAAGTAGCAAAAGTTGTAAAATACCCAGAATTTCATGGCTATAAAAAATCATTAAAAATATAATCATTAAATACCCTATAGGTTCTCTTAATTATTTTATTTAATGGAGATTCAGTATTTCTTTTAGCCCCTGACAGGGTGATAGGTCAGCAAATGTTTCATATATTATAACATCTTAGAAAAATTTTTGCTCTCAAGTTCTAGATAGTTGAAAAAATGGTTCTTTCTAAAATTTTATACTTTTGAAACTCCCACTTTATACACTCGTAATATCAACCAGTTTAAAAATAATCTTTAGAAAAGGATGGGAAATGTAAAGCAGTTAAGAAAATTTTAGTTTGATCCTATGACCCCTGTTAGAGGAAAGTCCAAACACAATGAAACACATTCACTTCCTGTAAACACGACTGACTACTGAGCTTACTGGTATTCCTCTGCTTCCTAAGTCTTCTAGTAAAGATTGCATAAGAATGAAAAATAAAAGAAAACTGGTCAATGTTACCTGACTCAGTCTGAAATACATAGTAGCTCCTGTCACTAAACATTATGCTGAAATGACTGGTTAACTCATACCTAGGGCAGTATTTGAAACTCCTCTGTAAGTAGAAATATGTGTTGTATAAAGAATGTTTCAGCCTTTGAATCAGTATGCTTAAAAGGAACCAGTAAAAATAATTATCCTTAATTGGCTTTAATACTCTTAATCATGTGGGTACCAAGTATAGAAAAACAAACATAATTTGAAAATGCCTATTTTTTTCTAAGGCAGTTTTTCATTCAATGGTGAGAAAATAATACAGATTGATTCCTTACTTTCAGTTCTATGCCACAGGGGATGGTCCTACTCCAGGAATAACAGGGGCTTCAGAGGCCATAAACAAGTTCCTCTCAATATTTCTTTAGCCAAAGACTATTATATCAAACTCATCCAGGTTGGGTTTCAGCCAGTTATTCTTCACCCAAACAAAAATGTCTGCCAGACATTCCAACAGCTGGGAGACAGTTCACAATGAGTCAACTTGAAAATGATTCATTGTGCTGAGTACTGAACAATGTTGGGGTGGGGGTGGGGTGTGGCTGGGTTGGTTGTAGAGGGTGAGAACAAGTGGGAGATGAAGAATAACCATGTGGTTCTCCCATTAAGAAGAATCTTAGATAACAACCAGCAGGCTCTTATCATTTCATTTTTAGGATAAACTCAACTGGGAAGAGTACTCCTGTAATGGACCCTCAGATGAACAAGCACTTATAAAGGCTACTGACAATATTTCTTAATCAAAAGGTCAGATTTCCTTTTATCTATAAATACAAGACTAAGCCTTTGTATCTAAATATCTGAATCTAAAATGATAAAAGTCGGTTTTTGTTAGAACTCAAGTATTCAGATATGCAGTGATATAAACTAGGGCTTTTTCAATTATTTTAATAATAGAAATTGTAAGGTTTAAGGATCTCTTCCATTCTAGTAGCATATAAGTAAGGTCCTGTATATTTAAATGGACAACCTGACATTCAAAGAGGGTTTCTTTCTTTAACCTTGAAATTTACTAATTAAACCACTTAACACCCTGTAAGATTTGTCAACATTATAATTCTTTTTAAGGTGATTTATGGAAGATTTAAAAAAATCGACCATCCACTTTGTAGAGGAAAACTAATGAATTCCAAAATAAAAGATGTATACAGCCTGGATTTAGAAATCTCAGAAACTCATTCATATAGTTAATTTATTGTGTTTCTAAGTTCCATAGGTTTACACTAGAGTTATTAACTACAAACTAAATTTGATTTTAAAAGCTTTCATGAAGTCTTAGAGCAAGAAAAATAAGTTATATTTAAGAATGACCTTACTGCTTTCTGCACAGCAGTTTTGGAGAATAGGTTACGTAATGTGGCAAACTTGATGGTGAAAGTTGTACAGATATCGAAAAAAAATGTCTATAGAATAAAAAGCACTGGAAATTATATAAGAATAACATCTAAGTTTCTGACTGAGATCATCTTTATCTTAATTATAAACTCATCCAGTATTCCAGTGATGTATAAAAGCATAAAAGATATTTGGGCATGTAAATGTACATACTTTTTAAAAAAGCTAAAATAGTGTTACAGATTACTTCTGTACTCACAAGATTCATAGGGAGTATGGTATATTGACACAATCATATCTTAAAACTACTCTTGTCCAAAGGTCTTTCAAATCATAATGGTCTTTCAGATAAAGGTAGGTAAATTTACTTAAAAGAATACTAAGTGGTCTTTCAGATAAAGGTAGGTAAATTTACTTAAAAGAATCTAAAATTGATAGCTTTAAAAAAATCCTCAAAGGCATAATAATCGCAATTCACTTTAGGGAGAATACACTATGGACAATAAATTGTCAAAATATAATTCACAGTGTTCAGAAAGCTTTAGCATAATGATCTGAGCAGAGGCCTTGAAACTGGAACTTCCATATTCTCATCTTAACAGATTCTAAGTGTTTTTATGTTATTAGCCAAGATGTGAAACCTCTTTGGTCTGCAGTATATGTAGTTGGAAATGGAGAACCTCAAGGTATTTGTGCATCAGTTACTTGGACATAAAATTTGAGTAATTTTTGTGTTATTTTGAAGTTGTTACATTATAGTTTCTAATAAGGAATATTTGAGTAAGGACATTCAGGATTCACCAGTAGGAGTAAATTAATGGTTATATTCATGCATGGCACAATGACATCACCCAAGTATGTACAATGATACTGTCACCCCTCCTCCTTGCCCATCTGGATGTGAAAATCTAGGATGGCTCAAAAATCCTCCCTATACTAGACAAATCTCCCTTCACTCCTGGGTGAAAGTTGTCAGCTCTGGACAGTAGCCAAGACATGGCTAGGAGGGAAGCCAGAAGAGAAGAGAGCCAGTGTCCAGGAGTTTTAAGAGTTTGCTGGCAGTCTCAAATAGCATTGTATTAAGTTACATAAAAGGTTCTTAAATCTTTCTGTTGCAGTGCAATTTCTTAATTATTTAGATTTAAATCATGTCAAATGCTGTTGCAAATAAAAACGGCAAATGAGATTGTCCAGTCCATTTTTTTATTCCAATTTTAATTTCACAAAATATTTCAGAGTTTTTGTTTTGATTGTTTCTTGTTTGGTTTCATAGGATGTTTCCTGTTTTCTTTTATATAATGGTAACCTCTTTATTAGGATATGCCAAATCCATTAAATAGATTTTAAATAAAGGAAGATTAATTTAATGCTCCCTTGCAATTCAAAGCTCATTAAACCAAAACTATGAACTTTAAGAGATAAAATTCAACTACTGCCATATAAGCTCCCTCCATTTTCTAATAAAAATAGTTGCGATACCTATTTAGAGTAACCAAGTAACAATTAGAATACCTAAACCCTGAATGTTTTCTTACTTTCTTTGACCCAATTATCTCAACAATATAAAAAGATACAGTTTGTACCAATACAAAGTATACTGCCAGGAAAGATTTTTAACAAGAGAATTAAAAAGTAATTAACCAATCACTTAATTATTAAGAAGCTTGAAAAGAAAAAATCAGTTGACATAAAGCATTTATGCAATGCCTCAAATGAGAATAAGTTCTTGAGTTACTCAAATAAGATAGCAAATACACAATATAAAGAGTAGAGCTCCCCATCTGAGTATATGGCACACACATCAGATTTGGGATTACAATACTGCAAAAGCACTATTAAGTTAATATTGAAAAGTTAAAGAAAGATTTAAATTACTTTGTTTGAACCTACTACGTGACATGATGTGTGTCTGTATGTGTGGGGCTGGAGGTAAAATCCCAAGAAAAACAAGTATACTCCTCAACATCTAACACTTTTCTGAGAAATGACATGCATCAAAACACAAACATACTAGAACTTATGACATTTCTTTGTCATGTAATAAAAAAAACTTGAATAAAAGGATAAATCTAGAGATGTTTAATGAGGTATTTGTTTTTCTATGCTTTTTAAGTTCTACATTCTATAGGATTGAGACTATGAAATAATAAAATTGTTTATACTGTAACTTTTTACAAACCTTCCCCCACCTTCCCCAGAGTTGTCATTTACTAGATTAAATTTTTATTTTATAAAAATATTTTATAGTGGGAAAAATAATTCTGTTCATAATTATTTTGAGTTTACGAATATAATTTTATCAAATAAAGTTATACTAATAAATATTTGTAATTATAATACCTTAATGAAGGTATTAGATTAAATCTTTCCAGATTTAATATTGACTTTTATTAAAATTCACACAGTTAATTTTAAAATACAGAGGAACTTGTATAAATTTTA